TAACTGTGCTACAAATACACTCACAAAGAGGAAGAGAGTGTGAATATTTGGTTTGAGGACCCAAAACAGTCTTCAAAAGCTATCACATGAAGTGAGTTGGTCTCCTCCTTCAGCATTTCATTAAGCAGCTGGATTCATCTCCTATGGCAATGGAGACCCTTAAAAGAGGTCTCCTTACAGCCACAGAAGCCTTGCCCATGTTTCCCCTTAGCCTTTCAACCAAACTAAGATGCTGAGCCAGGGCAGGTCCACAAGTCATGAATTAGGCTCTGTAAGCAGCTGAGCATGTCTCCGGGGCAGATTAGTCAAACACTGTTTTTTTCCTCTTTGCTTGGGCTAAGGGACAGTTGTCTTCTTGGGAACAGAGCAGCTGGTGGCAAAGGCTAGAGAGAGAACATCCAGCAGCTGGGCAGTGGCAACCACTGCTCTCACAATCACGTAGGGACCAGGGTTGGATGTGGCCATGGTGGGAAGGAGGAGGACCATCGACACATCCCACCTAACCCCATCCTGCAGCCAAGGTGTGAGCCAAGCCCAGACTATCCTGTGGCTGAAAGGTTTCTTATGCAGAAGAAAACTGTATACTGGGGAAGAGCTTAATTTTCCAGTACAAAGTACCTATTCCTACAGAACCAAGTGTACCAAAAAAAAAAAAAAAGGGGGCTAAAACATGCCCTTTGCAGTCTGCATGGGCTTAAAATGAGCGTGCTTAGCACCAGTTACACAATAGAAAGGGCTCAGGTACTCTCTGGCTGCAAATACATTCGATACACTGAAAGGGTTGCGGGAGCGTATCAGACGAAGTTCCTTACTTTGCTCAGGCAGCCTATCAAATATTTAACGGGCTGCCATAGGCAATTACATTAGAGGAGATAGTTAAACACCCCCTACCCTAGGGCACCCCCCTGCAATGTAAATCAAACAAATTGGACTCTTTTCACAATTGACACACACGATTTTACTTACTGTAAATAATTTAGCATTAAAAAGTCGAGCTACACTTTGCCCCATCTGGATTTTCTTTTCTCTTGCTCTCTCTCCCTGCTCCGCCGAGTCGAGCAGCGTGGACTCCGGGCTCCTAATGCAATAGATGGAGTGGAGGAATTTTGCTGCCTCGGTGAGCTGTTAAAGGATTCCCATTTTCTAATGGAAGAAACCACACTCAGGGAACTTGTGAAGTTGCCCATTTAAAGCAGTCGGAGATGTTCCCTGCCAGCTAACAGCAAGGGTTGGGAAAAATCCCTTCCTCCGGAAGGAGTTTGGTCTATTGCCGGCTGGCATCTCCCGGGGTCGTAGCAATCTCCCTATAAAACTTGGCTGAATGGTTGCACTTTTTAATTAAAAGCTATCTTTCATGATTAGGCTCAGTGGGGCTTTAATAAGGGTTTTTACAAGCTGGCTTGCAGCATTGGCCTGCATGGATAGTCTTTCCTCTTACACCTAAAGTGCTAGATCTGTGCATTAAAATACTCTCTGCTATCCAGGCTAAGAAAGACACCCGGTCATCACCGGGAGCTCTTCCTCTAGCTCTCTCCTGGCCTCCTGAAACAGTCCACTTGACTGCATGACATTTTGAGCTGTGACTCAGTGTCTTTTTCTAAACCCTGTAATTTTGGGTGGTGAGAAGAGCAGCATTTGGCTCAGCTGTCTCTTCGGCAATGCTGCTGCTCACCTGAGTTGAATGGGGTAGCACTTCAGCTTGTCCCATTCCTGTTTGTCATTGCACTCCCAGTTTAAATCAGCATAAGTACCCTGTGAAATGTTCTCCTCGATGCCATGGGCCTCTCAACAGTGAGACAGTTTATACAGTTCAGTGTGTTTGTTAAAAAGTGCTCGGGGCTTGATTTTTCTGTTCCTGCACTCATGCAAGCAATTTAACCATCGCCTGTGCAGGTAGAGCTGCTTACACATTTCCCGACAAACCCAATTTCCATCAAAAAACATCAATTCCAATGAGATCGAAGCATTTAATCCCCGAACATCTTAATTCTGATGGATGGATCCTCCCTGGGGTCCCCGCAGATGGTGGTGGGTGGTGTTGGAGCTGCCGGACGGCTGAGCAGGGATGAGGAGATGTTCTCTCAGAGCCTGGGATGGAGAGGATGATGCTGGAGGCATGGAAAGGTCCTGTGCTGGAGCTGAATGGGTGATGGTGCCAAGAACCACTGCCTATTTGGGTCTCAAATGAAGTGTAAACCTAAAATTTCCAGTATGCTAGAAATTCTGGGATAATTCCTGATCAAGCCTTGGAATGGACCATGAGGAAAGGGGAGAGCACCTGGCAATGCCCAGGTGGGGGACAACCTCCACACACTCACGTCCTGGCCTCTATACCACCACTCACAGCATTTTCCAGGAGCCCTGCTCCTCCCCATCCCTGTCTGCCTCCTGGGCATCGAGGACTCAGTCCTGATGAGCAAATAGGAGGCAGCTGCTGTCCCTTGATGGCTCTACAGGATGCTCATCCTGCTCTTCTGCAGGATGTCCCGAATGGGTCTTTTCCACCAGATCCTCTCCTGGAGGCCTGGAAAGCCACGTCCCCTCTGTTCTGTGCTTGTACAAAGCTCTGCCAGTGGGTGTAATTGGCAGCCTGAACACACAGCCCGCACGGCAGCCCATGAGGGTGCCAAAGGCTCTCATTCAGGCACAAACGAACGAACGAGTGATCAAACCCACTTAGGAAATAAAAACAGCTGGAATCTGCAGGTCACTGCCTGAGGCACCAAACCACATGGCAGGCAGGACAATCCTCTGACAAGCTGCATTGAGGTGTCCTTTGATTGAAAACGCGGGGATTAGGAGGAGCGCTGTGAGTTTTCATTGGTTAGAGGCAGACAGCCAGAAGGAGAAACTATGGGTTGTCTTTGAAAAGCAACAGAAGGAGAAGGCTTCTTGGGCACAGACCTAGCTGCAGATAGTTCCCGGGATTAGTTGCCCGTGGGAATGACGGGCAAGAGCGCCTGATGCTCTGTCGGGACATGTCATGACACCACCAGTACCCCCAACCCCTTCAAGTCTGCATGCTGTGGCAGATAACCACCACATCTGCTGTGTTTTTGCCCATCCTGACTCTAAGACACTTGTTCTTCCCAAGCCAGGTGGAACCTAAGTTCTCTATAAATCCAGATGCTTTGGGACAGTTTGTATGGGGGGCAGCTGCTCTCTTCCTCGTGCAGGGGCGCACCACAAACCCATGCAGGAGATGGAAGGAGGACAGGTTCCCCCAGGGAATGGAGCTGGGAGGGGGTCCGGCTGTCCCTATAGTCACTTGTTTCAGTGGTGGGAAGCGGCTTTGTGCACCACAAAAGGTGGTGCACAAAGTGCTTCCTGGTGAGAGCCAGCCTTGTGCTGTGCTCAGGGCCTGAGTCCTGGTCCTGAGCTGCCTGAAGATGTGGAGAAGCAGCTGCTGAGCCCTTCAGAGGAGACATTCATCCCATTTCCCCTTGCTCCAGACAACTCTCTGTGAGATGTGCAGAAGAGGAGCGTGCCCAGGTCTCATCCCATAGTCCCTGGCCTCCGGGGCAAATTCTGAGGCACAGCCTGGAGCCCGCTCCTTGCAGCAAAATTCAGCTTGGCACGACGTTGTCTTCCCTGGGGAGAGTTACAGCCAGGCTTTGGGACTGAACCGCTCCCCCAGCCTTCCTTCTCTGAGCTGCTGAAATACAGAAAATGAGGAAAAAGCAGATAGAGCGGTCAGCAGGAAAAGCCCAATGAAAACGAAGTCAAAGACCCCTCGTGAAAGCTTCTGGGCACCATGATACCCAGGTAACAAGCCCGGGGGCTGCCAGCTGAAGGCTCCCGTGCCCACGCAGAGCCCCCAGGAGGGCCGATTCCCCCCTGCAAGAACTGTGCCCATGGCTCCGCTGTGCAGAAAGCCTCCGGTGAACCTCTCTGGCAGCCGCTCTCCTCTGCCCATCACCTGATGCTGCAATCTCTCCGCAAGCAGCAGAGGGGAGACCATGACTCAGAGCTGTGCTGGGAGAGAGCAGGAGGGAGGAAGGCTTCCGAGCTCCCTCCGGCTCTTGCTGGTGGATATTCAGAGCATCAGTGTGTTGGCAGAGCATCGCTGGCACTCGGAGGATGCTTTGATGAACAGGAAGGTCTGCCTGGACCAGGGGGTGTAGGGACTGCCCCTTGCCCTGCTCCCATCCCTCTTGGTGATCCTGGCACCCCATAAATTCAAGTCTTCCCCCAGGGGCAGGGTGCAGCCCTCCTCTGTCCCACTACACAAGCAAGGAGCTGCCCAGCTCTAGCCTGGGGACCTTCTGTCTGCACAAGCATCACCTGATGGCTGTGCCCGAATCCGGGCAGAGACCTGCGTGGTGGTGGTGGCCGCTTCCAGCCCCCTATTGCCGGCTCCGACCTTTTCCTGTGCACATCCAGACCTCAAGAACCTCCTTTCGGGGACACTTCAGCCTCTCGGGTGCCGGGGTTGGGTTTTTTGGGCTCTCTTCCCTTCAGGGGAGCATTTGCCCCGAGCATGACCAAGCACCCTTCTAGCAACCCCGCAGCCTCCATCCCCATCCCCAGCAGCTTTTGGGGTTCCCCTGCCCCGGAGATGCTGCGGGATGCGGGATGCGGGAGAAGTGTCGGGGATGGGGTGGGGGCGGATGGGGGGGTCTCGGCCAGGGTGAGGACGGACAGACACGGACAGACGCGGGGCACCGCAAGCAGGTAACGGAGCCAGGGATGGGAAAGAAAGAAAGAAAAGGAAAAAAAAAAAAAAAAAAGAAGAAAAAAAAAAAGAAAAGAAAAGTTGGCGAAACTTTTCCTCCTTCTGCTCGCCGAGTTTTATCCCCAGGTGCCTTTTTTTTTTTTTTTTTTTTTTTTTTTGCCTTGGGGCGGGGAGAGGGGGGTCGGGAAGGGGGGGGGGGCCGGGTTTGGGGGGGCCCGGCCGGGGGGGGTGAGCTGAGTGGCCGGGGGCGGGCGGTGGGAGGTGTCTGCCGAAAGGCGCCCAATGAGCGCCCGGGGGGGCGGGGGGGCCGGGCTATAATGCCGCCGATGCCGGGCGGTGGAGGCAGAGACAATACCGCGCCCCCGGAGCCGGGCTGCCCGGAGCGCCCCCCTCCCCTCTCCTTGCCCCTCTCCTCTCCCACCATGATGTCCATGAACAGCAAGCAGGCGTTCAGCATGCACCCCATCCTGCACGAGCCCAAGTACCCCCACCTGCACACCAGCTCCGAGGCTATCCGCAGAGCCTGCCTGCCCGCCCCCCAGGTAAGCCCCCGGCCGGTGTGGGGTGGGTGGGGGGCTCCGCGACCCTTCCCTGGTTATGGTTGAAGGGGGACGAGTCTCGCTGCGCCCTCTCGACTCGATGCGTTGGGGGTCCTTTGGGTTTGGGGGTCCCACGCAGCACAATGGGGGGGTCTCGGACCCAGTGGCTCCGTCCCGCAGCCCAACTCTGGTAGCGTGATGATTCCTCGGGACCTCCTGGCTCTGTCCCCCTTTGCTCCGTCCTGCTGATGGGGACACAGGAGGGGTGCCCGGGTCCAGCATCCCCCTCCCATGCTCCTCTTTTGAGGCTTGGGCCAGGCTCCGTTCCGCTCACCTGGCCCGTGCACCGCTTTGGGGCAGAGCGGGGTCTCCATAACGCTGCTTGAGTTTTAATCCTGTCCTGCTCTTCTGGTTTGTTTTCTGCTCCCTTTTTCTTCCCCCAACCCACCTCCAGATCCAGGGCAACATCTTCGCGGGCTTTGACGAGACCTTGCTGCGGGGTGCCGAGGCTCTGGCCGCTGTGGATATAGTGTCGCAGAAAACCCACCCGTTCAAGCCGGATGCCACCTACCACACCATGAGCAGCGTGTCCTGCACTCCTACCTCGTCCTCCGTGCACCTGCACCACCCGTCCGTGCTGACCACGCACCATCCCCACCACCACCACCACCAGCCCTCCCAGGGCCTGGAGGGCGAGCTCCTGGACCACCTCAACTCTACCCTCCCGCTCGGAGGGGTGCCGGGGCCGGACGTGGGCTCCACACCTTCGCACCCTCACTCCCACATGTCGGCCATCAACCACATGGCCCACCACTCCCAACCTATGAACATGTCCCACCCTCACGGCCTCGCTTCCCACGCTGTCATCTCTGGCCCCGAGACGGAGACGGACCCGCGGGAGCTGGAGTCCTTCGCCGAGCGCTTCAAGCAGCGGAGGATCAAGCTGGGGGTGACTCAGGCGGACGTGGGCTCCGCGTTGGCCAACCTGAAGATCCCGGGGGTGGGCTGCCTTAGCCAAAGCACCATCTGCAGGTTCGAGTCCCTCACCTTGTCCCACAACAACATGGTGGCCCTCAAACCCATCCTAGAAGCGTGGCTGGAGGAGGCCGAGAGGGCTCAGAGGGAGAAAATGACCAAACCGGAGATCTACACAGGGGGGGACAAGAAACGCAAGCGCACCTCCATCGCCGCCCCCGAGAAGCGGTCGCTGGAGGCTTACTTCGCCGTGCAGCCGCGGCCATCCTCAGAGAAAATCGCTGCCATCGCCGAGAAGTTAGACTTGAAGAAGAACGTGGTGCGGGTCTGGTTTTGCAATCAGAGACAGAAGCAGAAAAGGATGAAATTTTCTGCCACTTACTGAAGAAGGGGCTGGGAAGGCGGTGGGGGGAGTGCCTGTTCCCCTCCAGCCCCTCTGAAGTGGGCAGGGTTTGGGATGATTTTTTTTTTGTTGTTGTTTAAAAAAAAAATTTGAAGAAAAAAAAAAAGGAAAAGTAAACCTAAAAAGGGAAACCCGCCCAAAGCGATGCGAACAGTTTGGTGCCTGCTCCTCACCCCCCAGGCAAACTGGCCCCGCTGTTATGACTGGTATAGACTGCTTTTTCTAGACAAAAATGGAGAAAAAGGAGAAGACGAAACGGAAGGCCTGGGGGGGAGTTTTGGGGGTGCTCGGAGCCAGGGCAGCGGCAGCGAGAGCCCGGCGGGGCTTTGTTGCAGCCCCTTCCCGGCTCGGATGGGCAAGCAGCGGCTGGGGCACCGCTCCTTCCTCAGCGGCCGGTCCTCTTCTTTTTAAAAACTAAAAGAAAAATGATAATAAATGAAAAAAAAAATAAATAAAAAGGAAAGAAAAGGAGCTAAAGCTGCCCCGACGGCTGTAAATACGGAGGCGCCGGCCCGTGCCCCCACGCTCGCTGCCAGGGTCCCCGCGCGCACACACGCACACACACGCACTTGCATGGTTTTGTTCGCTGTCCCCTGCCCCTTCGCATTTTTGCAATAACGTTTCTGTTTCTACCTCATCGGCTAAATCAAAAATATATATATATTAAAAAAAAAATAGAAAAAAAAAAGAATAAAAAAAAATAGAAAGGAAAAAAAAAATTGGCACGTCCCTGGAAGTCACGGTTTGTTCGGTGGGGGGGGAAAAATAAAGGGAGGGAGATTTATTTTGCTTTGGTTTCGCTCAAACTGTTCGATAGCCGTATGATTTCACTGTAAAATATCCTACGCTTCGACAATCAAACCATTGGGGCTCACAGGAGCGGCGGGACCGGCCCGGGGCAGCGGGGGTGCGCGGCGTCCCTGCCCCGCGCCTCCGCCTGTACCGAACTCTGCACTTTCTAAGGCAAGAATACTTTTTTTTCTCCTTTTTTTTTTTTTTTTTTTTGCTTTGCCTATTTAATAGAGAAATTTGCCTCCGATTCGTTGTTATTTTTTTTTTTTTTAAACTAATGATTATTATTAGTTAAATTTCGTTTCGCTGTGTGTGTGCTGAATGAAATTTGGTGTCTGTGTACGCTGCAGCATTTCCAATAAACCATGCACGTTTTACCTCACCCCCCCGCTCCTGCCTCCTGGAGTTACTGCGGCCGCCGGGAGGGGCCGGGGCCGGCCGCGGCACCCCCGGGGGACTCGGTCCTTCCTCCTCCAGGGCTGGGGAGGAGGAAAGAAATTAGGCGAAAAGCAACGAAACGCGGGCTAAAAGGGGAAAAGCGGGGTTTTAGAGCCCGGGGGAGTTTTTCGTCCCTTCTCTGCTGGGGAGCAGCGCAAACTTCCACGGGTGGAAGCGCCACGCGTGGTTTTGGGGTCGGGGCCGGTGCCCACGGGGCGGATTCGTTGGCCGTGATGCGACTTGAGGCTGCCGAGAAACTTCGGGCGCTCGCGTCCAAAACCTCTCCCGAAGCCGCCTTCAAAGCGCCCGGCTGGGGGGAGCCGGGGGCCGCGTGTCCCACGGGCTGTCCCCGGGTCGAGGGGACACGGACACGCGGGGGGGGCATCCCCTTCGTACGAGGTTCCGTGCTTTTGTTGCTTTTGTTTTATAACTTTTTTCTTTTTCTTTTCATTTTTTTTTTTTTTTTCGGGGGAAAAGAAACCAAACGCACCGAGCGCGGAACGGGGAGCGATGCTCGGCACCCCCCGGCAACCGAGGCAAGGGGACGGGGGAGGGAGGGGGGGACACAATCAAGACAGAGCGGATCAGAATCTGCAAATTTTAAAGAAAAAGAAAAGAAAAAAAAAAAAAAGATGGGAAAACGGTGAAGCATCCGAAAGAGATGCTCGAGGGAAACCGGGTGAGGAGATGCCCGGCGGAGCAAACTGAGCCCTGCCCGGCCGGGGCATCGCGGGCACCGTCCGGGTTTGGAGCCCCCCCGGCCCGCGGAGGCTTCGCAAACCCCATCCCCGCCTTTGTTCTTTTCGCTCCGTTCCCGTTTTTTTTTTTTTTTTTTTTTTTTTTTTTCCTATGAAGCGAAAAGCGCATTTTCATAAATAGACCTTGGCCAAGTGCTGGCGATGAAATTTTAATGAAGGCTGGATGCTGAGTGCTGCCCGGGGGGGCCTTGGAGAATCGGCTCCGCGCAGCATTAGCAGGGCCCTGCTCGCATCCCCCCTCGCTCCCTCGCAGCCACAACACGCTGCGGTCTGCTGCTGCTGCTCCTGCCTCGCCACGACCCCCCTGGCACCCCCTCCCCAAAACTGGGACCCCCAGCCCTGCTGCGGGGCCGGGGTCGCTGCACGGAGCCGCTGGCTGGCGGGTGCCGCTCTGCCCTCGCTCTTCAAAGTTTGCGAGCGATGCAATATTTATCACCCACGAGCATCAGGAGGCGAGCGGGTATTTCCCAGTCGCAAAGGCAAAGGGTGCTCAGGAAAACGTGCGCCCGGTGAGGAGGAGCCCAGCCCCACGGTGGCGGGGGTTCGCAGATGTCTTTTTGGGGTAGCGCGTCCAGCTCCCACCCCGAGCGCTCAGGTACTGGCTGGAAATCTGAGTGGACCCCAAAGCCCTTCAAATCCAGGCTCTGTGTGCTTGGGGAATTTTAGGGGAAAGGCCATGGTGAGGAACAGATGCAGAGCTTTGCAGGGAGGAGAGGAAACGCACACACACGCAGGTGTCACGGCACAGGCACACTCCCTGTTCCTGGAGTGCAAAGGAAGCCCCTGAACCATGACCCTAAAGCCAAAATAGCATTAAATGAAAGGACTATTGATTGGGCTGGACACCCAGCTCTCACCCTTTTTTTTTTTTTTCCATTTTTCAATTGAGGTTTGATGTATGAGGCAGCTTATCAAACCTGCGGCTTTGGCAGCCAGTCCATCTCCAAGGGTACCTACTCACCCACCACTGATGCTGGCCCAAGGCCACGCTGCAGGACTTGGTTCCTCACTTACCAACAGCCTGATAGACAGGTAGGGATGGGGTGGGGTGGGCTAGGTGGGATCACCTCTCTGGCTGGGATTTGGTTCATCCCAGGAACTCAAAAGCATCAGGCAGAGCTGGCTCAGCCACTACCAGGGACAGGATTTGAGCACGGATACAGACGGGGTCTTTGAAGGAAGGGTGTGCTGGGGGGTGTAGAGCTCTAGGCTCCAGTTATGGCCCATGGAGATCCATCAAAGATGATGGATGACCAGCTCAGAAAGAGACATCTACAAACGGGGACACGGCAGCTTAGCAGAGAGGAGTCCTATTTGTGCTGCTGCAAAGGCTTCCTGAGGAAAGATGCCCACGGGTTCTGGGCTGCTGAAGCTCCCAGACATGGGCTCCTGGAGTTCTGCTCAGTGAGCCTGGCAGCAAGGGTTTCTCCTGCCATACAGTGCTTACTTCCATGGTGCTGAGCTCCATGCCATGCTCGTGGTTGTGTTGTATCTGCCATAAAAAAAAAAAAAAAAAAAAAAAAAAAAAAAGGAATTTAGGCACCTAAGTCCCTTGAGCACACAGATAACTACATAAAGTTATATATGCCAGAACAATTTGGGAGCACGGCTGCACCAAATCACACAGCCAAGGGGCTGACTCTCCCTCTAGGAAGGGAAATAAGACAAAGAAGGTTGCTGACAGCAGGGCTGTCCCGGGGCCATCAGTGAGTCCCATCTCCCCAGCCCTAAGCTATGTGGTTGGGCCGTGCAGCTTCAGCCCTCACACAGAGCTTTAAAGGATGTGGAGGATCAGGGAGGTGGCCACCAACACCAGCAACCCCCTCGTTCAAATATTGCCTGCACATCACAGCTTTGCACTCAGCTTTGGGTCTGGAGGAGAGAAAATGCTCCATGTGCTTTAAAAGATTCCTGCCTTTGAAAGCCATACAGGTAAAGGATGCCCCTGCTGACGGACTCTCTTCTATTATTCTATGTGTTTTAGTGCAGAGCAGAGCAGATGTATTTTTAAAGAGGCCAGCGCTTGAAGTAGGCTCTGTTCCACTACAGGGGAAAAAGGAGTAAAGCAGTAATTACAGGCTTCATAGGTGCCCGAGCAGGGAGGAGGACAGCCGGGCTTGAGTGGGAGCCCAGGAAAAAGACTAAAAATCAGCTGCCTTTGGAAAGATTTGGGGAAACGGGGTGGGTATGAGAGACAACCCCCTGCCCCAGCCCATCAGTCGCTCTTCACAAGGAGCAAGTCCTCGGTCAGGACACGTTTCCCATCTGTGCTCTTCGCCCTCTGTTACCAAACCCTACCCTTGGCTTGGGGAAATTCCTGAGGATTTTGGTTGAGCAGGGCGTGCAGGATCAGGCCCATGTTGTATGATTTATAACGAGTGAGGGAAGGTTTTCCTGCACTGCTGGATCAGATCAGGACATGGTAGAGATGCAGGGGCTCAGTGGATGTGCTGGTCCATGTTACTGCAGCCTGATGCTTGAAGGCTGGGGGATACTCACGAGCCTTGTGTTTTGGCCACCTGAGCACCTCTTCACTGCAGAACCTGGGCCACTTTCCACCAAGTCTGGCCAGAAGAGGGTGGGAGCTCCAGGAAGCAACAAGGAGAAGCTGTGTGACACCCTGGAGACATCTTCTGGCTTGCATTTACAGGGATGAAATACTGAATTTCCTTCCCTTGGTACTAAAAGCAAGAGTCGGGACCTTGTGGGTGCTCAATCTCCCTGCAGCCACAAGCAGGTTTAACATTTACCTGTAGTAAGACCAGAGCCAGAACACAGGCAAAAACATGGGAATACAGTTCCATGCTGTATGGACGATAATATTACAGCCTTTCTTTTTTAAGATATTAAATGAACACTCACAGAAATTTAATATAATGTTTTACCTCTGCAGACACTGAGGTCTTGATCTCACCTACAAGAACAGCCTTGTTCTTACCAGCAGTCCTAGTGGAGCCCAGCAGGACCAGTCCCAGGGCTAGGCTCTGCTCATCTGCCCTTGGTTTTAGCCATAAGCCCTAAGGAAGGGCTGTGGGGTTTGGCTTCGGATCCCTGGGTGGATCAGAGAGGAGGGGAACTCGCAGAGGACTTCAGAAACATTGGGATCCTGGAGATAGAGAGATCAGAGATGAAATCTATATTTCATCTGCAGCATCACCAACCTTTCCAGCAGCTCAAGGAAAATGAGCGCTCTCTGAGAAATATGAAAATGTCAACTAAGAATGATGTTTTATTTATACCAGGCAAGGAAGGTTTTAGTTTCAGACAAGGAAAAAAAAAGCACATGTGTTTGTACAAAATCTCTCTTAACTATTCTGTGCCTGCCCAAGTGCTACATGTGAATCAGAGGGAGTTTGTTTTCAGTGATGTACGCAGCAACCCCTGTCCCAGGCCAGTCAGCAGAACCTCTGCCTCATTCATTACCAGCTCCAGGGAAGCACATCCCAGCCTCTCTGGCTAAACAGAGAAGCAAAATCACCTTAATCTCTTCTACAAAACAGAGCATCCGACTCAAGGAAATGCCTGGTGACTCTACGGTCCAGTGGGGGAGTATCCATCACCTGCATTCCAGACTATGTTTGAGCAGGCTCCCAACACTGAGATGAAAATTCAATGCAGATTTTTTTCTGCTGCTTTCCAATGTGTGCACTACGTACTGTGGGGTCCTGCAGGAGATCAGCATCCAGGATCCTCAGTCTTGGATGGCCACGTTCCTCAGCTACCTCAGTCTGCACCCTGTGTGGGCAGGCTGGATGCAGGGTCCATGTAGCCCCCCGTTTCCCAGATGTGTGGCACTGACTAAATCCTTTATCAGGATTTGCCATGGAGGGTTTTGATGGTTACAGCTGTATTTTTCTTGCATAACGGTGTCATTCAGAGAGCTGCAGGTGTGCAATGCACCTTCAGCCTACCTGTGTCAAACTTGGTCTCCCAGCATTTCAACTCAAGGCCAGCATGAGTCGTTTCAGCCCTCAAAAGTCCCATTTGGCAGAGGTTCAGGGTGCCTGTGACCCATCTGGAAACCCACAGCAGGCCTTGCCCTAGACCTGCATGGCTTTTTGAAGCCACTGAGGTGCCTGGGGAGGTGGTGCTGCCCATCCATCTTCTGGGACAGGAATCAATCTGTGAGAGATGAACCAATTCCTCACCCTTTTTAAAATTTATTTTATTTTATTTTATTTTATTT